CTAAGTGTTTCCCCTGGCCCCCCCCCCCCCCCCCCCCCGACCCCCTCCTCCAGGTTGATAAAGACTTCATTCCTGGGCTGATGTACATCAGGGACAACGAGGCCACAGCTGAAGAGTTCGAGGCCATGACTCTTCCCTTCACGGTACCGAACGCCAGCGGTCAAGACATTCAGCTCAGTGCTAAGTACTCGCACATCACCCTGGAGAACCGAGCCGAGTACGTCCGTCTGGCCATGAACTACAGGTACTTGTTAGCTATGGTACTTAAAGGTACCCTGGCATAACTGTTTTATCGCTAACTCTAGACTGGCTAACTCTAGACTGGCTAACGCTAGACTGGCTAACTCTAGACTGGCTAACTCTTAGCCATTTGTGAGGTTGTTTACCTGCAGCGGTCCTTTTTTTACCACAGGCTCCACGAGTTTGATGAACAGGTGTCGGCCGTACGTGAAGGAATGGCGCGTGTTGTTCCTGTTCCGTTACTGTCACTTTTCACTGGATATGAGCTGGAAACTATGGTGAGATGATCCCAACAGTACCAACAACAGTAACAGTGGTAGAACTGAATATAGTGCCAACAAAAGTAAAACTAACAGTACCAACATCAGTGACAAACCCCGCAGTATCACCACACAAGGACCAAAAACAGTTCCATGAACAGTTACACACAGTAGTAACAGCAACGGTGCCAACAACAGTTACAAGCAGAGTACCAAAACAGCAGGAACACCGGTACCATTGACAGTGATGGATGTTGACCTGGTATCGAACCCTGTCCCTCTTCAGGTGTGCGGCAGCCCTGACATCCCGCTCCATCTGCTGAAGTCTGTAGCCACATATAAAGGAGTGGAACCGATGGCGCCGCTCATCCAGTGGTTCTGGGAAGTGATGGAATCGTTTTCCAACACGGAACGTTCACTGTTCCTGCGCTTCGTTTGGGGAAGAACTCGTCTGCCCCGGACCATCGCAGACTTCAGGGGGCGGGACTTTGTCGTCCAGGTGAGAATTCACAGACGGGAGAAAAAAAACAGTACCAGAAACAAGGTGTTTGTGTCCTGTTGAACTAGAACTATGTTATTGAAAGAGCGTTGATGTGGTGTCATGTGACTTCCTGTCCGTGTTCCTCTGCTCAGGTCCTGGACAAGTACAACCCTCCAGACCACTTCCTGCCGGAGTCGTACACCTGCTTCTTCCTGCTCAAACTTCCTCGGTACTCGTGCCGACAGGTCCTGGAGGAGAAGCTCAAATACGCCATTCACTTCTGCAAGTCCATCGACACGGACGACTACGCTCGCATCGCGCTGTCAGGGGAGCCCGCCGCCGACGACAGCAGCGAAGACTCGGACAACGAGGACGCCGACTCTTTCGCCTCAGATTCTACGCAGGACTATCTGACTGGTCACTGACGTGGTCTCGGGTTGACCCGGACGATGAGGTTAGCCTGAGGGTCAGAGGTCAACTCATCTGGAGAGGAAAAAAAAACAGGTTGTGATGCTACCGGGCCTGACCCTGGGCCTGAACCTGGACCTGACCCTGGGCCTGCCCCTGGCCCTGACCCTGGGCCTGAACCTGGACCTGACCCTGGGCCTGCCCCTGGCCCTGACCCTGGGCCTGAACCTGGACCTGACCCTGGGCCTGCCCCTGGCCCTGACCCTGGGCCTGAACCTGGACCTGACCCTGGGCCTGAACCTGGACCTGACCCTGGGCCTGACCTGGTGATTTTAGGATCGCACTGTGTCATTGCGGCATTAGTGACGACCGTGTCAACTGCTAACTGCTTACGTTTTTCAGTAAAGTGTTGGGTTTGAGGTGAACACAGGAAAACGACACAAACGTCTGTGTGGAAAAAAACGTGCAATTCTCTTAATTATCTCGTAAACCCATTGTGAACCAATGACAGGAATCAGAGGAGGCGGGTTCTGATGTGGGTTCTGGTCTGAAGGCGCTCATGTTACAGTTGAGTCATAGATTTTGTGTTTAGTTTGTAAATAAATGTGAAAGTGTAGAAACGTAAACAAACGTTGTGTTAAACCTGTAACGAAGGAAACAAAATCATTTTTAACCCCAAGAAAAATGTGTCTGTGTTCGACACAGGAAGTGAGGTGCTGCTGTTTCCTGTTGATGTCTAATTATCACAGAATGTAAATAACAATAAAGAAAATTAATAAAAAGAAGCGCAGGTGAAGTGACCTGGTCCAGATCTGGGTTCTGATTTGAAGATGATCCCAGTCCAGAACAAGGGCCAGACCAGAAAAACAAGAACAATACTGGTCCTGGTGCTGGTGCCAGCACTCTGTCAGAACAGCTCCAGGAAGGAGAGC